TTTTTAAATAAAGTTTGTGGAAATCAAATCGTGAGGTGTAGTTTATGAAATTACTATGGATATTCATGAGCTCATGAGAAATTCTCTGAGAACGTATTATTCCATAAATAAGTCTCAGGCACGAGTTTTGTACTTTTTGAATTTTACGTTTATACTGCTCACTCAAATGTAGTCCATAGATGACAGTATTAGCATAGTTAAAATGTCATAAAACTAGAAGATACTGCCTAACTCCATATATCAATTTTAAAGAAGAATATGCACGTCGTATTGAGTTATTCAAGTTCTTTTAGAATCTGAGAGTGTGGTCAAGGATGACTCCAAGATTTTTCGCTTCTTCCACTAACTCGATATTCACGCCATTGATTGATATGTTAAGGTACTCTAAAATATCAGATCGTTTGGACTATGGAAATTATCCAAGTGTTTATTAAGCATCATGCAAGAATCATTCACATCTAGAGGGGGGAAACTATAATAAATTTGGGTCTCATCCGCATAAAAGTGCACCTTGCAGTGATTCGAATTTTTAGGGGGGTTATAGAAATGTGACAACCTGTGACAAGGACGGGGGGAGGGGTTCAAAAGTCCTAAAATTCGTGTGACGTACTTTATGGATGGCCCCTAAAGAGCAAACAGGATCGGCCCAAGTATAGAGCCTTGTGGCACTCCGCGTTGAAGAGATAGGGGAGATGAAATAGTTTCATCAAACGAAACTCTTTGACTCCTTCCATTGAGATAATTGGCAAGCAAGGTGACAGCTGAAGTTGACAGACCAACGTAATGTAAAATTGATACCAATAAATCGTGGTTTATAGTGTCAAAGGCTTTGCTGAAGTCAAGAAATACTAGAGCTGTACAATGTCCTTTATCTGAAGCTCTAACAATGTCATCTACAACGTGCAGCAATGCTGTAGTGCAACTGAATCCCTTTCGAAACCCCGACAGAACCGATAGTAAAATGCAGAATCTTCAGTTTTTAAACCAATGTAGGCGATGTATTCTTGATTTTGTTCAATAATAATTTACAGTAAAGGTACTTTTGTTTTATTGAATCACTACAAACAGAATTTAATACCTATATAATATTGGGAGAAAAATGTCTACTGTTTAAAATCTGTTCGATTCTTTGATCTACTCTAAACGCGCCACATCAAATATCACAATATCAGACTAAAGGAGATTTTTCATAATCATCTTTGGTAAAAACATATATCTGCTGGTAAGAAGATTTTCTTGGAGCCGTATACACAGGATTATAATTGTAAATGAGACTGTTCATCTCTGTTTGTTCATCAGGAAAAGTGTTATTGTTTTTCCTACACTTATTCACGAAAAAGTTTGCGAAAAATTGGGAAACTTGCACTGCCTCTATCGTGTGAGGGATTCCAACGCCATCTTTAAATTCGAAAATATTCTTTTCCGGATGGTACTGAACCCCATAAAATGGATATTTTCTATTCTCCATCGTCGATATGAATTCCACATTAGAGGCGTCCCGATTCGTTGATAGGATGTTCCAGTCTCTCAAGACCCCGTTATTATTCAAAACCTCTTCCGTTAAGCAGTATTGATGCTGATTGTAGGTCACATTTTTCGTTCCAAGGATTCTGAGTATTTCTCTTGGTGCTTTCGAAAATAGGTCGCTGCTCTCATATCCTGAAGAGAAGAAGTAATATCAGTTTTTAATTGATGTATCACACAGTTGGAACAACGAAAGAATATACCTGCGCCATCAATTTGTGTATACAACATAAGTCGACATATTAATAAAAATAAAACGGTTGGCCACTGCACCTAACAACATAACCTTTCAATAAAGAATTTATTTCTGGAATTCACTAAAAAGTTACAACTTATTGTGACTTCGAATTAACTTCATGAAATGGGTAGATACTTCGTCAATAATTTTGTAATAACTTAATAACTTATATTCCATTTACCAAGTCCGTTATCTGGCAAATTTGTATATTTCGGTAAATGGAATGTCAGACACAGACATATAATTACGAATAGTATAGAGGAATCGAAACCCTAGATATTTTCAATGAACAACTTATAAATAATGCAACAGAGTCAATTTTTCTCAAAATCTGAGGATATGTCGACGACTGAGTATAGGGTGCAAGCTCTCATTAAAACAAAAGCAAAAGTTAACTGTTTCGTATTCCTTTTCCACTGTTCAAAGGAAAGGATGTGTGTTTCACATGATGTATGAATGTGTATATTATCACGTATTTTAATGATGACGCACATGTATTCTTTCGTTGACTCAACTGTACGTTAGTCACTTGTTTTCATTTTGCATGTCAAATTATGTTTTGTAATTTTACATTTCATTTCGTATTGAACTAGAAATTCGAACAAAGCTCTCGCTATATGAATAAGTTGGTGTTGACAAATTTTCATTATGAGTTAGGTCAACAACACAATTCTATTGAAAATTTATCTTTCATACCTACAGTGCTTTTGATTGTTGCGAAAACATCATTGCTCAATACGTTTCAGATTGAAAGAGAGTTGAAGACAGTCCTCCATTGATCTCAAAATATAATTTCAGATCACCCGCGAATACCAAACAGTTTATGTCAATGATCTCAACTATGTGGTTTATGAAAGGCGTTAAAAAGAAGTGGACCTAGGAGGCTTCATTGTGGAACACCCGAGGAAACGGCATATTTCACAGACTTGAAGCCATTGAATATAATATACTGACGCCTGTCGGTGAAGTATGATACAAAAAGTTGGATCAGGGCCAGAGAAAAACCTTACCTGTACACTTTTTATAGCAGTAATCCGTAAGTTTTGGCATTGAGTGCTCAAAAACACTTGAAATATTAACAGTGGCATAC